ATATAATATATACTTGTGGCCCAATATACAAGTATATTTAAAAACTAACATGTCTAGATTATAATAATAAGTATTAAAACTTTATCAAGAAAAAAGGATATTTTAAAAAATTACTTCTACAGACACTTTCAGTTTTTACTTAGAAATAGATAAATTCATTTATTATAAAAGAGAGTAAAGAAAATTTATTTGAAAAACACAAATATTTGTTTTATTTGGATCTGTAATTAATAAAAAGCGATGAAACATCATTTTAAAGTGCATTTTTATTCAATTAATATAATTATAAATAATATGTAGCCCAAAAAGTAGCCAAAGCGCCAAATGATATTTTTTACGTGAAGCAAAAAAAATTAGCCACATTTGGCCCAATTAGCCAAATCTTGCAATGTTGGAAGAAATACTAAATAAAGCTGGAGCTGTGAGTCAAAGGATTATAGACCCAAGTGCGGGGAAAAAGAGGCAAAGGACAAAAGATAAAGAAGTGAAAAAGGTTGAAAAATTACGGGTCCTAAGGACTCTCTATTTGTTTAACAGAAGATCTATTTAACGTTTCTCACTACTACATCTTTTGTCCTTTCTCATCTTTCCTTCATTTTCCCAAATTTGGGTCTATAATCCTTTGATTCACAACTCCAGCTTTATTTAGTAATCATTCCGCATTCACACATCTCAAAGTATTAGAAAATATTTTCTTTCCACTCAAAAATAAAATATGAATAAAGGTTTATGGCTTTGTGAAATTTTTTTTGAGTTTATGCCGTTGAAATAAATAAATAATAAAAAAATTAAAACATTTGTCAGTTTTGTTTACACGTTTTGGGCCGCATTGGAACTTGCCTTGGGCCGCATGCGGCCCGCAGGTTGGACACCCCTGCTCTACGTTAAAATGTCCTTGTTTAACGCTGTTTCGCTTAGCGCTTTGTCATCTAGGAACGCATTCCCCATGTTAATTAAACAAGGTCTTACTGTATTTTAACTACCATATATCTATATATATAAAAATGAATGTATGTGTGTCTGTCCTTCATGCATTACCACATCGTTTATCTGATTGCCGTGAAACTTTGGGAAGTTGTTTAATATACTCCCACGAAGGTTTCTGGCATAGTACGATTGCCATGAAACTTTGGAAAGTTCTTTAATACACTCTCATGAAGGTTTCTGGCATAGTACATTTATCCTACGATAGATGGCGCACGTGTATATGAGCATTTTATAGTGTGTTCGACCGATTTCAAATTGTGAAGACCATTTTCCCCTCCAAAAAATATCTCTATATATGCATTTGTGAACTGTTATTTACCATATCTGTAATAATTTTTGTTTAATTAATCACTTTATTTCAACTTTTTTTTTGCTAATTAGGTATTCGCTCAAACTTTGTTAAAACCTTAACTCTATCCCGAACAACAACTGAAGTCGTAGGAGGAAATTTGCCTATTTTACCGATCTAGGGATCCCCTTTTCCAAATTTTAATATTGACTCAAAATAATTTAAAAAGACAAATTACAATAAAATGGTTTATTATCTAACTATCAGAAATTTCACAACATGCAAAGGAAGAGAAGAAGGAGCAATTAAATAATCAAAATTATAAAGGATTAAAAATATATATATAAAAATGGGGAATATCGCACTTCTAACAATCTCTGCGAGTATGCGGGCTAAATTTAAAGAATCCGTGCTTCTCGCATGTACAACTGTATGTGGCCGGCTCACGCGTCGGAAAACCTTCTGATTTATTCGCGTACACACCAGATGTAAAAACAAAAAATATCGTGTATCCACAAGCACTTCAATAAATAAATTGAATTGAAACCACATTTTGAAATGTTTTCCCAATGAAAATTAATAATAATAATAAGTTTCAATAAAAATGATAAAATGTAAATTTAATTTTATCATAACGAGTTTGCTTGAATTTTGTTTCTTCTGAGATCGCAGCAATGCACGACAGGTAAGCGAGTACTATATATAACCATTCTAATAGAGGATGTGTCTCTCACATATTTATAATAGATGATATGTGGCTTCTATTGTGAGGTTTTATTGCATTATATAAGTTACTTATATTTAATCTACGTTATAGTGAAACATTTTAACATTAAATTGGATTTAATTTTTGTTATGTTAAAAACAAATTCCTTGTTATAAAAAAAATTAATATTATATCATATAATTATTAATTTTAAAACTACATTAGATTAACAAACCTGTAATTGATGATATTTGAGGCAGATAATTTCTTCGTCAGGAGAGCAGAGTTGAGAGAATTCTATAAGTGGATCTTGTAAACGACGAGCAAGAGAAATAGCTTGACGAAGTAGAGGAGGATAATCTCTGAAGTCCATCTATTAATATTTATTTATAAAATACAGATTTAAGAACAAATACAAATTTCTACTAATATACAAAATTTTACAAATTATCAGATACTCTACTTCTCCTTTCTTTGAATTCATGTATACAGTGGCCAGTTCATTATCTACAAGCTCTACGCTAATAGCGGGCATTTGCTCGGACTCCATTAATTCATTTAAAATTGCTTTGATGTCGTCAACAATCATCAATGCTTCCCTAGTGTAAACAAGCTTATTAAATTATATAAATCTCAAATTTTACAATCATGAAAAATATGTTTTACCTTGACTCTCCTCCCACAGCTACTACATGAGGTTTTTTGACTATTATAAATTTTCTTAAGGCTTGAAGAACTGACTCCTAAGTGCCATAAAAAGAAAATGAAAATTTAATAAAGTATATGAGAAGATTTGATTTTAAAATTCTATTTCTTTAAAATGTACAATTTTTTCAATTATATATTGAATTAATATAAAAATAAAAAGCTAATAAAGCTAGTGATGAGACATTACCAAAATTTCTTCCAATTCTGATTCTTTTGAATACCTTCTAAATTTTATTTTAGTTTTGAAAAAGTAATGCTTTACATTACAAACATGGTACATTCATTAATTAAGAAACATCAAGCTTAAGAATGGAAAGAAACCTGAAAATTCTTCATTTATATGTGGATATGTATGCTTTTATTGTGCTACAAAATAAATTTGTAATTTTATTTCATATAAAGTTATTATTATTGCAACATTACTCCCAAAGAAATTACAACTAAATTCTTTTACTCAAAAAAAATATTCCATCATGTCACCTAAGATCCATGATCTTTGGAAACTGCTTCGTTGCCTGACATGATGACTGGGAGAGAAGGAAGGTAAACAAAAAGATAAACTTATTTTTTAATGCTTCTTGCGATTGGCATGCATTATAAATGATTTAATTCTATCATATTTAACACTAAATAAGGTTTGACAAATGACGCATTGAGCTCAAGAAATATCACCACCACAAATAAACAAAGTTTTGAATTCATTCACTTGAGCCAGGTTTCCTTAAATGTACAAGTGCATGAACTTTTTGAGGAAAAGAAGAATCAAATGTATATGTTTAGAATGACTCATCTTAAAAAATCAATTTTTAAAACTCAAAATGGCAGTAAACTCAGTGCAAACAAGTATTTTTAATTAGAATTTTGCAAATCACATTTGAAAATTTAACATATTACAGCATTATCATAGTTATAATAGCAGTTTTAATAGAAAAGTCATTTTATCATTACAAAACACTTCTATATAGACAAACTAATTTAGCTTGAACAACACCTTGAATACTTTTCTCAGCAACACTATTAATTTAAATAAAAACAAACTGTCTTCTTAAACAGTTTGAATCTTCTTGTTAAATCTGATGCAGACCTATGAAAAGTTGGTTGAAAACATTTGTTTAAATAAATTATAGTGTTGCTGAGAAAAGTATTTAAGGTGTTGTTCAAGCATTTTATTATTATAAGTAAACATACAAAATATTAAAGATAATTTTATATAATATTTTTTAAATTAAAATATAATTTTGTTTATATTTTAAACTGTTTGGCAACACAAATATTTTTGTCACCTGCTGGCCTTGATTTCAAAATGTAGGCCAAGCCAACATTATACTGGCTGGAATGCAATGCTAATGTCACCCTATCTCCCCTAAAATGGGACAGTTAGTACCAACCAAGTGCAACCACCTCTCATCATTCTGACTACATGAAAAAGTCCTCCATGACAGAAAACATCTCATGTACGGGGCATCACATTCTCTCTGCTTTATCAACATGAAAGTTTCCAATAAATTAATAATTATAGAAGTAGTCAAATAAATAAAACTCACGCCAAAATTGTATAGCTTCTTGATAACAAGCACTGAGTTCAGTGTTAACATGATTTTCTTATATCGCAAGTACTTTCGACGAGTATTATATCGTCGTCCTCAGGCGAAAAATAATAAATTTGAAAAATAGAACATGCAGAGTGTTTCAAGTAGAAAACGGTAAATTTTTCTTGTCAATTTTAAAATTATAATATTCGGTAATTCCGTTGGTAACGTGCAACAAGCTTTTGCGGGCGTTCGAAAGATCTTAAATCCACTCGATTAGCAGTGCATGCATTGAGGAGCGATCGTACTAATTGTGCGATTCTTGACGCATTTTGTTGTTTAAACGCTGGTATAAAGTAACCCATATTTCGGGCAAGTCGAGGGTAGGAACGTTGCATGCGTTTGTGGTCATTGTGAGGAGCATTTCCCAAGTAAATGTAATCCTTCTATTATTACAGCGCTTAAGCAATGCTGTCTTTGACCATAATGGGTTATAGCCCTGCTGTAGAACTTTTCTGGCGAGCTCTGTGGTCTGTCTTCCTTTGTTTATATCTTCCTGGTGTTCTGCGATACGACAAGCGAGCATTCTTGTCATTGTCCCTATATACTTCTCAATTATCCCTGTTATTGGATTTTCTAGTTGCACTGCGTATATTCCCGATTTTTCTAAAATGTCAACTTTATCCCGATCATTGCATATGCTCCTGCATAGGGTGGGTTGGGAAATTAAAGGAAGGGTAAAGCTGTATTGCCGGAAAATATGGCTAATAAGTATGGACGGTGCTCTTAGATACAGCAACGCTGATTGCACTCTAGACATTTCTTTTTTATTGTATAGTGTGGTAAACGGGAAAAGCGAATCTTTTACCCTACGTAGTACATGTGTAAATCCAGCATGATGTACTGCCGTTCTTACAATTTCCAATTAGACTTTTATTAGAGCTTGTGATTTTCCCATTTACCACAGAGCTCGCCAGAAAAGTTCTACAGCAGGGCTATAACCCGTTATGATCAAAGACAGCATTGCTTAAGCGCTGTAATAATAGAAGGATTACATTTACTTGGGAAATGCTCCTCACAATGACCACAAACGCATGCAATGTTCCTACCCTCGACTTGTCCGAAATATGGGTTACTTTATACCAGCGTTTAAACAACAAAATGCGTCAAGAATCGCACAATTAGTACGATCGCTCCTCAATGCATGCGCTGCTAATCGAGTGGATTTAAGATCTTTCGAACACCCGCAAAAGCTTGTTGCACGTTACCAACAGAATTACCGAACGTTATAATTTTTAAATTGACAAGAAAAATTTACCGTTTTCTACTTGAAACACTCTGCATGTTCTATTTTTCAAATTTATTATTTTTTGCCTGAGGACGACGATATAATACTCGTCGAAAGTACTTGCGATATAAGAAAATCNGACCCAATCCACAAACAAACTGAACTAAATGTGAAGTATGGGGATGAGCAATGGCTTGATTTATGTCTACTCCAACTTCATTTGTACGATTAACAAACTCAAGATACAAAGCATTAAGTAGATCTTCTCTAGGTATGTGTTCCTGAAACAATTCAAATTGTAAGTACAACAAATAATTAATTTTCTTATTAAATGCAAAAGAATCATTTTAAGAATCTGAAATCGTGACCAGATTTGCTTGATTCCAGTTACTGGAAAATGCCTGATTTTTCTGATTCTGATTAATCATCCCATCACTAGATAAAGCTAAATTTACTATCTTTCAAATGATTAATTTAGCTTTATGAAAGAATATGGCTAGTATATGTAGTGTTCAAAACAACTGGGAATGAAATATTGAGGGTATTAATTTAAATAAAACTAACCTTTTCTGCTCTCTCCTTTTCTCTCCATGCATTTTTTCTTTTCAAGAGATGAGGTAACCTCAAATAGTCTGTAACTTCTCCTGATCCATCTATCATTGCCCCAAAAGCTGGAACTTCCCTTGAAAAATAAACAAATCGAAATGTTAACCCAAATCAAATCCAAAATTTCACATTTTTCTGCTGATTGCTTTTACACGTATTTGTCCTTTCTCAAATTTAATAATTCTGAAAAAAAAACTAAAATTGTCTTCTCTAAATATGCCAAATTTCATTAGCTTACACTGCTTAGTTTACAAAATATTGTTTTGTTTACAGAACAATGTCCTTGACCAGGTTCCCATAGGAAGCCCTTTAAACTTTGCAATAGTGTGTGCTAGTGTGAAATGAAATCAGATGAAACTAAATGACAGGAAAACTGTAGTGTTTCTCAGGAGAACCGGAAAATAATTTTTCAGGCAAGAAATTAAATCCACAAAAGCATTTAAATTCATAATGACTTGCAGACCATCAAGTGATTATATCATGTGCAAATGATAAACATCCATGACAATGATTATCTCTTATGGCAATCATGACAGACTTCCATGACATCAATTTTGATGATGTCAGAATGGAAAATTACCACCTTATGCATGCAATCATGTGACAAAGAAAAATTGTATGTAACTGCATGCATAAAGTAATAATTTTATACAGTAGTTTTTAATGCCCTATTATAAATGGAATAATGTTTTGATCAAAATAGTACATAAAATTGCCATCAACACATGTGATTACAGGATCACAGATCCAAAGAGTATTGAAATGTTAACTTAAACTTTTTAATTAAAACATTTAAAATAAAATAGAGTCAAACTTCAATGAACTACTGCCAACTACATACCATCCGACTGACAGCCAAAAAATGTAACTGAACAGATTGTCCCCAAAGATAAAAGGATAGGAAACCCAAATGATACACCAGGGGTGGCCAAGCTTCTTGATAGTCCGAGCCATTTTTCAAAATTTGAAATTTTTTGCGAGCCGCAATTAAATACGTATTAAAAAGGTATGCAAAAAATTCCAGAATTATATCCGTAGCAAGAGTGATACAAATTGTTTCTTCCAGAGCACAATGTCAGCTGTCCATTGCAATGACAGTTTACAAATTCAAATCGGTCTGGAGTCGGTCAATAATGGACAATTACGCCACTGTTTATGTTCGTTCGTGCAGTTTTCCATGAGTCATATCATTCTTAACTTGGACAGAAATGAAATTTGTTACAATGTTGCACTTAATCTTTCATATTTCTTGTTAGTAATTTAAAAGACATTTTGAAACACATACGGAACAATAATAATTTTTTAAAATATAATAACACAAAAATGAAAAGGGAACTCGGGTACATTTATCGAGAGCCACAAATAATCATTCAAAGAGCCGCTTGCGGCTCGCGAGCCGCAGGTTGGCTACACCTGTGATACACCATAATAAGTGAACAAAGTCCTTTCAACACTATTTTTGTCTTCAAATATATGCCAAACATATATTACAGAGAAGACAACTCCTCTTTGCCAGTTTGTACTGTTATGTTGTTAATTACAGTAATTTGCAAATCAGTTATTCCAGATGATGATCTACAAAGAAGCCTAAAACATTAGAATTGAAGTTATCATATATGATATATTATCAAGTAAAGGGGGGCGTATCTGGACGGCAGCGCTGTTGGTGACTTTTTGATAACACTTCGAAAAGTAACAAGGAACTTATACAATTTTTTTCTTATTTCAATTTTTTAATTAATAAGTGTTCTAAACTAATAAGAAATTACTAGTTACAAGGTTTAATGATAACTAATAATTATGGAACGTTCTCCTGTTAAACGTGGTCGACCTCCGAGCAGCCGAACGAAAACCGAAAGCAAAAGAATGCAACAACACGCGACCAACACGAAACTGATAACTGATTATAACACAATAGTGGAAAAAAATATACAAGAATTTCCGACAAATTCAATTGGAACTAATATGGATACCATTCCACAACATCTACAAAATCTATCAGGTGAGTGCAGAGACTTTTATTCATCTTCGCCGTTAAATTTGAAAGACAGTTTAACAGTAGATCTATGGAGCAAAATCTCGGAATTAATTAATACATCGAATGATAAACTATCTCTACAAATGACATCAATAAAAGAAGAATTGAACTTAATACACGAGACCATACGAGAAAACAAAATTCAATTCCAAAGAATGTAAGATCAAATAGATAATTTAAAACTGCATATTGATAATTTAAAACTTCAAAAAGATCTGATGCAATATAAAATGGATACTTTGGTAAACGACTATCACTGTAATAAAATAATATTATACAATTATCCCACTTCAAAAAACGTCTCTAAACCAGAAATTCTGAAATTTATAAATACTTCATTGGTCTTAAACAACATATCTCAAGACGAAATCTTAGAAATAACTCAAATAAATAAATCAGCTAATCCAGTAATTAGAGTATCCTTCAATAACAAACAGATTCGAGACCAAGTTTTTAATACGTTTATATCAAAGAAGCAACAAAAACTATTTGTAAATTGGGAAAATTTGCAAATCGTACCATATCTCACTAATGAATCACGAAAAAGAAGGAAACAATTACTACCAATTTACTACAATTTAAAACATCAAAATCGCTATGTTAAATTACGAAATGATATCCTGATAATAGACGGAAACAGAATAACATTTAACCTTGAAACGAGAAATTTAGTAAATGTGGATACCTTTTTTCCCTTCAACATATCAGCAGAACCAACAAGTTGATATGAACAGCATAGTAAAAATCATCAGATAAAAGTCAATAAAAATAATAAGGCTACCTTGATTTTAAACTGGAAAGTACGGATACACTATGCTAATGGAAGCAGCAATATCCCAATCTATAAACTCCGACCAAATCAGTCTGAACCGATGCTCTTATCACCCTTGGTACTTGGAAATACTAAACATACCTTCTGTACAACCATATATAAAGAAACCGATCAACTTCAATGTTAAAAGACTGATTGCACAGTTTCGGCTAAATAAATATTCTATCTATAACAATAATAATTATATAGAGTTTTCAAGTAATCAATGTCCATGGTGCAAAACTAAAGACTTTTCAATGGAACATCTACTTTTAGAATGTCAGAATCTATTAAATATACGTGAATCCTTCAATATTACTCAAATTCTACAAGATGATTCCTCTCATAATTATAAGAATAAATTAAACAATATGAATAAAATAGAGGTATATAAAATATATAATTACGTTACCAAATGTATTGAAAAATTGGAATACTAAGCTTACTAAATAAGCTTGAAAACTAATAATGACTAAAATAATGATCAACTAGAACATCGCTGCATAACTATAACTATAATAAAACGTGAAAAATAACTCGTCCTTATATGTTAAAATGTCAAATACAACAATAAGCAGATTTTTACAAACAAATAATCATAATGGATAGTCTAGCAACAGATATAGTATTATGCTATAATTTTTTTATCAAAGCATAAAAAAATGTTCATTAACTAAACTTATCAAACTAAATTAGAAAAAAGAATATTGTTTACTTTATATATTCTTGTATTATTACTACTATTAATCCTAAAAGTGAATTGTAATTTAATTCAATGTGAAAATATATCAAAGTAAAACTAAAATGTAATTAATTATATATAACTATTGTACTGTTATGAACTATCAATAAGTAGTATTGTACTAATTTAAAATGTACTTCCCCCAGCAACAGGAAAAATTTCCTACTGCTAAATAAAGTTTGATATATATAATATATTATCAAGTAAAGTATTTAAATTTTAAAACATTTTGCAACTTTAAAAATTGATATTTGCTTTCAAAATACCAGTACTGTACATTAATTATTTTAAAACCCCTCACAATTACCCTTTACATCCTTGATTTGGGGACAGGTGTTAATGAACTACTGTAGTATAAGAATTAAAACCAAACTGCAAGGATATCATTTTTGAATTTTCACTTTAATAATTTTAACTATGTAACAAAAAACTTAATTTCTGGTTACATTTTTTTCAGTTTATTAATAATTTTATAAAATTTGTAAAATTTATTATAGGACAATTTAACAAGTTTCTACATTTGTAACAGATTACATCAGTGTTTTCCAACCTTTTCCTAATAATTAGTGACACCTCCAACTTGATAATTTTTTTTATAACACAACTATCTATTATAAATGTAAAGTTTCTGTGCTTTTAATACTTTCAATAATACACATAGTCATTATGACACAGGACTAAGCATAGTATTTTACAGCACTGAGACCCACAAGTGGCTGAGTGAATAAAACCACCGAACACTGTAGTTGGTTTGTGTCTCACCCACCATTGGGCTAGTCATGTGAAGTTTTCCAGGTTTTCTTCACATGCCTGACACCTAAATAGGGGCATTTCCCATTGAAAGTCCACCTGGATGGCACTTCTCCTTAGCAATTATCCAGGTACTGGATGATTGTCTTCTTCCATTAATCCAATTCATGGCACCCCTGAAGTGTCATTGTAGCACCCTAGTGTGGTATGGCATCTCAGATGAAAACAACTGGATTACAGTATTGTTAATATTACATAAATAATAGCAAACATTTACTCGCTGACATCATAAAAAAGGACTGCTTTTGCAACACTGCCAGTCTGTTTATCTGATAAAAACATTACCAAACTGACAATGGCAGCTTATCAAGGTTTGACTATATTTTAAATTCAAAATTGAATATTCTATGTTTAACACTGTAAATACTATAAATTTTGTATAGATTTAAATTAAGCAAAACAATCAAAATTAATTGATCTTTCTACAACAGCACTAACAAGTAAAAATTATAAAAACTATTAACAGACATTCATTAAAAATGAAAAAGTGTTTTTATTAGTATGAAAGAGCAAAACTTTTCAAAAATGCTTAATTACATCTTTCAATTTAAGACACTTTTTTATAATTACAAATTAAAACATTCCTTCCTTCAAGAAGACCAAACCTTTACTAAGCATTTTCGAAAAGTATTTTCTCATTGTCACAATTTTCACCAATTAACCTAGAATTAACAGTTTTAACAAGTTAATTATTCTAAATATTTTCAAAACTTCCATTTTTCTTGTACATTTTTTAAATACTAAATTTTATTTTTATAATATTGACTTTTGTTCATATTTTTGGTTTTTCAACTTCAATTGATTTATTTAAATATATATTTTTGACTTTAAACAACAGAATAATTTGCAACTATTTCTGTCATCTAACTAAAAATTACAATTTTTACCTTTCCTAACAATTCAATCTATTTACTATAAAAAGAGTATTTTAATGATTTTAAAAAACACTTACCAATCTGGAAGATAAGCAACACCTAATACACGAATTCCTTCTCTTGTATCGTAATCTTCATCTTCTTCCACACCTTGTTCTACTTGATATGGGGCCATTTTAAGCCAATTATACAGTTTTCGACAACAGAACTGAAATAAGTAAACTCTTGTTATTTTATACCAAAAAAATCTCAATTTTCATAATTTTATTTTTTTTATATGTGCCAAAAATTTATTCTTTACCTTAATAATACCTTCTTTGGCTTCTAATAACAAACGGGCTCTCATTTCTTTTTCAAAAAGAGGATATAAAAATTTTGTAAGAGCTATTTCTAATGCTTGGTATCTTTGGCCATTCCATTCCTGGACATTTTTACTGAATTCATCCTACAAAAATTATTTTTAATTCAGAATATTTCATAAATATTAAAATTGCATTATATATTAATATTATATTTGAATATACATATTTCCAACAATTAAATCTGAAACTCTAATAACAGAATTTTTAAAGTTTCTGATTTAATTCTTGGAAATCTTTTTCCAATGAAACAAATAATAAAATAAAAACTCCTTATTGCAGTGTACTTCAATATAAGAGCAAACAAACTAAAAGTATTTTGCATCATCTTCCAAAAGATCTGATCTTACGGAAACTGTAATTGCATGCTTTAAAATTTGGAGCACCCAAAAACACTCGATTGCTCTCATGTAATCATACGAGTTGCATTAAGTTATAACGCTTCCAATTATTTTTCTCGAGACTGGAAATAGATAGAAATATGCGGTTTGTTTTAAAATATGCATGCACTCATTGTGAATGCATGACAGAGATGGCATCACTATATGACACACAGAACTCTAGCAGCAGAAGTGAGAGTGAAGATTGTTTTTGATACTTAAAATGGTGATGTTTTCATTACAAGAACAGCATGTAATCATTCGTTTTTTCCATTTGAGTGGTGCGACAGCAATTGAAATTCATCTCTAGTTGAGTGAAACATGTGGTGATTGTGTCATGGATGTGTCTAATGAGTGTTCATGGTGCAACAGTTCAAAGAAGGCAGAACATCATGCGAGAACAAACCAAGACAATCTCGGCCTCATGCCAGCCAATCTGACGACACGATTGAGCGAGTGGAGAAAGTTGTTTTCAAGGATCACCGAATGAGTGTGGAACACATCGCCTCCAAAGTTGGCATTTCCATGGGATCTGTGCACAAAATCCTGCATGAAGACCTGAAAATGTGAAAAGTGTCCTCCAGGTGAGTGCCATGAATGCTGACGGACAATCACAAGGCTGCATGCATGGCATGTTGTCAGGCAATGTTGATGCATGGTGACTTTCTTTTTATTGATTGTGACAATGGATGAGACATGGATGCTGTTTTTTAATCCTGAAACGAAGCACCAGTCAGCTCAATGGACTCACACAAACTCACCACCACCAAAAAAATTTTGGGTAAGCACCAGTGCTGAAAAAATGATGGTGGCCATGTTCTGGGACAACGATGGCATAATCCTTACTCATTGCATTCCAAAGGGCACTATGGTGACAGGTGCATCCTACCAAGATGTTTTGAAGAACAAGCTCCTTCTAGCATTGCATGAAAAATGGCCAGAAAAGGCTGCATGTGTGCTCTTTCACCAAGACAATGCATCGGGCAAATGTGACGAAGTGATTTCTCATGCTCCCTACTCACCTAGCGCCTGGTGACATTTGGCTGTTTCCAACAATAAAAGACACTTTCCGTGATCGCACATTCACTAGCCATGCCACTATTGAATCGGCGATTTTCCACTGGTCAAACCAGACTCCTAAAGAAGTGTTCGCAGCAGACATGGAATCATGGCATCGACATTGTGAAAAATGTGTATGGCTGCAGGGAGATTACATCGAGAAGTGACACAAGTTTCACAGTTTTCGTGTGATTAGTTTGTGAGAAAAAAATCTAATGCATGGTGTTATAACTTGAATGCACCATGTATAATAGATTTCATATTGCCAGATAACGCTGTATCTCTTATCTTAAAACGATTCATTTTAAAAAATATGATTGTTATATGAATGGATTATTTTAAATGCCAACTTTATAACAGATTGTTTTGTAGCATTTAATTTGTACCTTTGTGTCAATGACATACTCACAAGAACCCATAGAATGACAGAGCACCAATAAATTCTAATATAGATTATATATTAATTCTTAAAAGAAGACAATTAAAATATTGTTGTTATTTCAATGTACACATGTAAAAATTGTTTTACTGTTATCATATAAAGATTACAAAAGAACATTTAAAATTATTCATTAAAGTGCTAAATTTATTATTATAATATATTATTATTTTGAAATTACAGTATGAATCCACCATATGACGACAGGTTTCACATGCAATTTCAAGTTTACACTATTGACAATTCAAAGAAAAAAAAAGAAAAATAAACTTTCTAATTGCATACTAAATCCATGCCATTTTTAAGATGCATGAAGTCTTATAGTATCTAACTCATTCCCATTCTCGAAAAGCATTACTGCTTTATTTTTCACTAAACACTGGGACTCGCAACAGTCTTTGTCTAGAGTTCTTGCTTGTAATACATCATATCCATGTATTATCAGTGCTTCTATTTGTTTTCTTCATGCTAATTATTTTGTAAACATGGCTCCAAAATTCAAGAAAAGTGATGCTAATAGCTCTGATAAGCCAAAAAAAGCAATAAAGGGCTTATTTTAGAGGATAAAAATTAAAATTTTAATTTAGTGAGAAAAGAAAGAATTCTGCTTCTGAAGATTTTTTAAAGTTGTTTTATGATTTACCGTATTATACCATTTGTTTTTAGTATAGTGTTTATACACCTTATTCATATTAAAAAAATATGTGAGATGGGTATGCTATATAGGAAAAAGAGATTATGAGAAAACATTAAGATTTTGCTCTTTCTGTAAATTTAGACATCAAAAGAAAATATTTTAAATAAAAACAAATGATAGAAATTCAAATAATTAGCATACTCTGTAATAAAGCTGTTTAATTTCATCCAAATATACATGAGGACCACCATCATCCCGATGCATTGAAATCTGTATGGTAAGCAAGCCTTCGTCTTCTGCCTGATATAAAAACAAAAACTTACTATTTAAATTCTTGATAATAATATAATTAAATTATATAATTCTTTTATATTACGAAAGTATATATAATTTCATAATTTAATAAATAATGACACATCATAAAATTTTTAAAAGTGTATAATCTACATTGTTAAGTTATAGCTTTATAGTTTGAAATTTTCAGTAGATTTTAAAATAAAAAATTAGAATTTTGGTTGTTCATCATCAACATTGGATCTGAGCAGTAATCAGCTAGGAGAACATTTAAAATGACAATTTATTTCATTCAAAAATAAAATAAATAAAATTTTCTGCTGAATCTGATAATTTTAATATTAAAAAATGTTGATAAAGGTATATGTTGAAAATACTGTACTTCTCACAAGATGAACTGAGTGACAAACTGTATTTTGTCTTTGTAATCTGATGAAAGTTTCCTAAGTACCAGCAGAGAAAAACTTAACTTCCATAAAGTTCAGATTGAAACCATTGTAGACTGATCTTCCTTACATTCTTTCTAGCATATGTGTCAAAAAAAAAACCACTAACAATGCTTGGAAGAGATTTTTCCATTTATATTTAAAAATCTAATCATAATAATAAAACAAGTGGACTGCCATTAGACAATGAATTTTTCATCAGTCATTCCAAAAAGCAATTAATTGAAAACAAAAGGATAATTGAAGATTTTTATTCCATTTCATAGAAATATTTGCATTATTCAATATTTTCAATATTTGATGATTTTAATAAAGTAATTAATTAATGTATAACATCAGCTAAAATTATTTCAATTAAACTGCTAAAGAACAAAATCCTCAAGTGAAATATTCAAACATTTCTTTCCTACAAAAATTTATATTAATTGATTAGAATATACAAAGCAAAAACATTGTAAACTAGTAAAATTGAATTACATTTAGTCCAATGCGAGACCTTGCACATGGAGAGATTTTGGAAGTTTAACTCCTATCATTTTAGAAAAATTAAAAAATAATACATTTATTTTGTAGCCATTCAGTTCCTTAGCAGGTTTTTTAATAGAATAGCCCTTTAAAAATCCTGAACCTGAACCTAGTCCAATCTTTGACTCAACTAATTTGATTATTAGTTAATAATAAAAACAAAAATTATATACTTACAATAATTAAACGAAGAAACTGGTCACCCACTAAATCTTTCAATGGCTTGTTTTTTAAATACTTCATTGTATAACAAGGATGATTTTCATCAACTTCCTTAGATTTTAAAAATTTATTTACATTAACAAATAATTATTATAATATAAATTCAAAATCAATCATACCTTTATTCCTTTCTTTGTAGGTTTGATGTTTATTTTTGCTCTTTCAAAATATGTTTGTCTAACACATTTTCTTACAACAGGATCACAGGAAATTTGAGTGGCTACTACAAATCTTGCTGCTCTTAATGCATCTTCAGCTGTAGGAAATCTCCTATAATAAAAATATTTAGAAAATTAGTTTGTATGTAATGTTGAATTTATTAATCCAATTTTCAAAAACCACTTTTCAAGAACAATCATTATATATTTTCAAGTGCAAATATTGTCTTTTGAATTAAAATTTTGCATGACATTTCTTAAAAATCAATTTTTTTCCACTTATATTAAATCTTTTTGGTACTAAATATCATAAATAATTTGCTTCTAAACACACAATGTTGAACTACAAAATTATTTTAGAGACTAACATATGTATTTTTAAGTTTCAGTTGCCTGTAAAGTATCTATAAAATATGCCATATTTTCTGAACTATTATTTTTTAATTTTTTTAAAAATAAATACATAAAAATATAAATGTGACTTTTACAAAGATAAAACTTTGTCCTTCTTTTCGCTATTATTTTAATGTTTCAGATATGTTCAATTAATATCAGTCTGAATCATCATAACATTAGATGCAGGTAAGTATTTATATAATATCATTAATTTTATAACTGGATATATTGCACAACACCACTATTACTTTATGAAATTATGCATTTGATGTTTCCATAGTTCATAATGTATTTAAAATAATAATACTTTCATTATTCAATTGAAGATGATATGAAAGGAACCATGTTAAACAAAATAGTAGTTGACTAAATGCCAATATTACAATAAAACAACACAATATAAGTGTTATATGTGAAAAACAGTTGTAACACAAATTTTTAGATGATTTCAGTACCAAATCAATGCTATTCAAAATTAGACTCTGAAATTTAATGTTACTTATTTTAAAATTATTCAAATTAAATTTTTTCTACAGTATCTTAACAATTATCATACTTCGAAACAAAATCTCCAGCAACTTCTAGTGGTCCAATAGGATACTGATCTACTTCATGCCGCTGATAATTATCTCTTAAATTTTCGCCAAAATGCTCAGGAGTAAGACCAAATTTTTTAGCTAAGCCATCTAGAATAATAATAAAAAATTAAAGATGTTTTAATGTTATTGTTATTACAAATTGCAAAATATTTATTACTCTTTAAAACTGACAAAATATTCTTGTAAAACACTTTTTCTAAAAATAAAATAAATTTTCAGTTATAATTAAAAAAAAATTATACAAATGCATGCATGTATACACTTCATTACATTATACAAAATAAGGAAAATATTTTATTAATAGAAAATTGCATTAATTTGTCATTTCCTATTAAAAATTATGATTAAAGCATACATTAAAATATGCCACATATTAAAGAAATATTCCCAAGCACTTCTCATAAGTTTAAAAAAATAATTCTCTATCAAACAAATAATTTGATCTATTAGTTTGAAGTCTTGTTTCTAACTAAAAATATAAACAATGAAGCATCACTTTTAAATCATCTTTTAGTAAATCATCACTTTGGTTTACAATATGTAATTATTTTGTATTTACAATACATAAATACACATTATCTATAATCACTATTATTTTACTATTTAAACACAAATGACCAATATTTTATTGGGCTGCAATTTGAAAAAAATTGTAGACCTATAAATTCCCACTGTCATCTGCCTATCTGTCTTTCCTTAATCTCAAGAACAGAGTTAGACAGATGAACGACAAGACCAGATGTGGAAAGCTTAGGGACAGGAGGTTCTGATTGACTATAAACGAACTTCCTATGCAAACCAGAAGTCACATTATTTCAATTCGAAACTTTTCCCCTGAAAGGAGTTAGTTAGATAACCAGCATGACTCAATTGCTAAAGGGAAGTATGACGTACAGAGGCAAGACACTACTAATTTGCTATGGAGAGCACATACTTTCAAATTAAAGAAATATGATTAAAAATTGCAGCCCAGTTCCTAATATATATATATTATTAAATAAAATGTTATAGACAAAACAAAAAATTATTTATTGTGACATTGTCACAATAATGGGTTGCAGTTTATAATCATATTTCTTTAATTTATTTAATTTAAAACATATGTTCTCCATTGCAAATTAGTAGTGTCTTGCCCCTGTACATCATATTTTTCCTTTAGCAATTGAGTCATGCTGGTCATCTAACTAAGTCCTTTCAGTGGAATAAGTTTTGAATTGAAATAACTTGCTATGCAAACCAGAAGTCACATGGTTTGCATAGCAAATTCGTATATAGTTAATCGGAACTTAATACCATTCTCGAGACAAACAGAGCATCAATTTCTAACAGAAATGTATGTTTAAATTTGACACTTGCCATAAGCCCACTCATTGCACATCATGTTTGTCTCTCACTCCCACCATTTAACTAAAATTGCACACTGCATTCACAAAGCTGTTTTTATAATAAAATTATTTTACATTAAGTTTATCTTTATTTGCTTTCAATGACTATATTTCAATATTAATATCGAGTCAATATTGAGATTATGGTATGTTACAGTATAATATGGGTTATAGTAATAGTCAGGTCTATTTTTAATAGTAATTCTCAAGCAACCAGAAACTGCATTTATCTGGCACATACCCGCAAGTGTTGGTTAACTGAGATTCTATTGTATATTAAGTTTTAACACTACAAGCAAATTCAAGTAATATTTGTATTAACTACATTTTTAACTAAACCAAATTAAATTCAAATGGTATGTTCAACAGTAAAAATTATTATATTTTATAAAAGCACTCAAATAATTAATTTTAAATTATCTCTGTTTTATTTTCATAAATAAATGGACACTAACCAAGTCCCGCTTCTCGACAAACAGCATATGCATCTTTCCTGGCAGCAAGTTTTATTCGACTAGCATCATTTTCAGTTTCATTTTCATTTTCACCCTCCTCTTTTTCATTTTCTTGATTTTCTACCTCTTTCTGTACTTCTTTTGGTTGTTTCTTATCTGCTGATTCTCTCATAGCAGCCAAATCTTGAGAATAGTATAATTTAAAATGACAACATACATCCCTAAGTTCTTCCATAGTATTTGCTTCTTTCAATCTATATAAATAACAATTATTTCTTTACTAAAAATAAAAACAGATAAACAAAAATCTAAAAACATAATATCAAATTAAATTTAATACATAATTTCAAATTCACAAATTAATTTAAAGATCCAAATCCTCAAATGTAAAGTAGCCTTCCCACAATTACTAATTTGAGAATCATTATACTTAACAGTAAACAGCACTTTGAAAGTCCTAATAGCAGGTACTTTATTTAGTCATAAGAAAGTTTAATGAGGCTTATGTGACTGTTGGGTCGGTACCTCTTCGATACCACATCAGGATGACACCATTGTATCCTTAGGTCGATACAGAGACTACAAGTTTGTGCGAGCAGTTATGTATGAGTTTTGGACCCGGAATGGAGTGAACGGAGAGAAGAACGAAAAAAGCTGCACTCAAAGATGGTTTAAACATAAATAACCGTTTATTTATATTAAATCTACGTTAGTTATACATCCGAATTAAGGTTACAACGTTAGTATTGGCTACATTTCAGTTACGTGAATTGTGTTTAGCATTGATCTTTACCGCAATTCCATTTCCTAGTTACAATCGAGTTCGCGACTAGTTTACGCGGAGAGAGAAAGCGTACAATAGTGCGTGGGCAGGATAAATACCTTATATTATTCTGTTGTTCGAGTAACAGCAATAAAGTCCCACAGTTCTCTTCGAAGTTAAGTAGGTGAATTGCTGAAATCTTCGAGTTCAGTAGGGGAGGAGGCGGTGTTGGTTGACGAACAGAAACAGTCTCTCAAAGGAAATCTCGGTGTGGCGCGCACACACAATCAAATAATAACTTCCACCCCCTTACTCATTGTGCCTGTCCTTTTTATACGAAGTCCTCTTTTTGGGCCTTACCCGATTTCGTCAGGGATGACGATCTCCTTGGACCAATGAGGTGACGAGTGACACAATCCTGACACAGAGATGTACTCATCCCAACAAGGAACTCAACTCATGGGAATCAAGGTTTAATTTTAACCAGATTTTATGTTTCCCTTTTCTCTTTTAATTTTTTAATAACTCATTCCATATTTATAAAGTTGCATTTAAAGTTGAATTAAAATTTATAAAAGATTAAAGTTTATAACACGAAATTTCTGATCCTCACACTTAATCTCATAAAACTTTTACATTTCTTGTAAATCTTTTGTACATTACTTGTCACTGAAGATTTTTAAGTGATCTGAGAAAAATCATTCAAAATTTTTTCATATTTGAATTCTGATTCATTAACATTGTGTTCCAACAACTAAGCCCTTGTGTTTTATTTCAGGCAAATAGCTTATGGTCTAATGCTGAAACCAAAAAGTTGAATTTTCTACTAAACTTGTTTTCTTTTTATCAAACAAATCAATTTGAAAACACTACAGTTATGTGAATGTACATAAAATCAAAATAATCTCAAATGCATGATTATTTCTTGAAATGACTAATTTCTTAAATACAGATTTGATTGATTGTTATTACTTTCTTAATGATTTAGTTGAACTGAAGACAGAAACAATAACAAACCCAGTAAATTGTCATCTCAAGATTTCCGTAAATGAATAAGTACAGCTTGTTTCATATATCTTTAGCAGGCTGTACTGCCTGACAAAGATTTATGAAACACAGACAGAAATGCACAGTAGCAGGGACCAGTCTATTTACTTAGTGTTTGATGCATCTTTAACAAAATCACTGTGTGTTACCAAAAACAAGGCTCTAGAATTTATAAAGTTCCCAGAGTGTTTGTAATCAATCTAATAAAAACTACTGTTAACTTGCAAGATTAATATAAAAATAGTTACACTATAATCATTAATAATAACTTTAATTTATTAAAGTTTTTATTTTCTTAATTAATTAATTTATTAAGTATATAATAATTTTATTATATAGAAAAATATTTTCTTAGATTTTATTCATTGCAAATTGATTTTTTTGTTTATTTAGCACAACAAATTTAAAAGTTATGTATTTAATTTCTTTTAGTCACAAAACAATGTTGTGAATTAGTCAAAATATAATAATAATAATAATGACTCTCCCATGGTCACCACCTGGTCGTGGTGGGAGAGCCCAGTAATTTTACTGATCCATAGGGCAATGCAGGCTGGAGCACAAGCTCCTGGTAGGGACACCCATGCCAGTAAGGTCTATGGGGAGAAATGAAGCTAAGAGTGACCACACACCCACATAATGTGGAGAAATTTATGATGGTAGTAACCAGATCTAAGTATGATACTGGCTCGAACGTCACCCGGGTTAACAAGGTCCGCGTTCGTGGGTTAGGCAGAGGCTCACGTTCGAAAAATAGGCTCCAGTCTCCCTTGGTTACC